GAAACACACGTTTGGATTTAGACTACACATTCGTGATTTGTCCTGACACTAATCGATGCACAAAGATGTCAACAATGAAATGGAGGGATTCGAATAGTAAGCACTCGTTAGAGAATTAATTGACTATGAAAGTTAGTTTAGAGAAATCCTGACATCTGCAGTAAAACTGAAGTGGTATTAATCTGAACCAGAACGTCATTATAAGGTGCTGAGATATACCTCAACGAACTTTCTGAAGAGTGTAAATGAGACAAAAAGTACCATGGACATATTATGCATCCCTGAGTCAATGCTGTATATCAAGTATCACATATTCAGCATACTGAATCAATGTACTTTATTCTAGTGTATGATCATTAGCCAACTTGTTGTGGTGACCTTTTAGAATTAAATTTCAGTACAGTATGTGCTTTCCAACTGGATCTTAAAAGCTGGCAGATAGGCAAAAATCAAATGAGAATTGATGAGCTTTGCCATGACCTGGAGAAGTGCGTGAACAAATTCTAGAATAAATTCGTTAGCTGCAGATAACAGATAAGGAATTAACATCCTTAGCTAAACTAAGGAGTAAAATGTGACGATAAAGGAAACTCACCAGGAAGAATAGTTACTCTCCTAGAGGTAATTGAAACGTCTTGATGATTAGAGAGATTACCTAAAAACTCCCTGTAGATGCTCATTATCGAGAGAATTTATGTTTAAAAGTGATATTGAATCTCTGACCTATGTTAAGGCACTGATTCAGATCCATCCTGAAATATTTTGTGCCAATGCAAGAAGCACGAATTAGACATCGTTACAATGACATTGACATTAGTTCCTAAGGTAGTTATAAATAATACCTGGTTAGTCTCCAAGTGCACGAACTTGTTTAACTTTTATGGGAATTATATATTGAAAAAACCAAATAAAGCAACACAGAACGAGGGACCTTGTGATAGACGAGCGAAGTATTGACCAGTTTCATCACTGCAAGTAACTACGCACAAGATAACCACCACCAGGTTTCCCGAACCGAAATGGGAGAATTGAAATCCCAGTGTAAGAATTAATGTCCGACAGTTGAACGCCTTAACGGTTGCGTTACCGCTTGAATATATTTCAAGAAAGAAAATACGTAGCGAGTTAGAAACCATAAGGAAATGTATACACAGGATAGCAAGCCATGTCTAGATTGTGAGTAGATTGGATTGGCATGAAGTATTTTGTAGAATCGAACATTAGACATACTGGTAACAAGTTAAGCATCTTTTAAATTTATAAGATCTAGAAATCGCATATGAATAACTCACTTTTGCATGACAGTGACAGAGGCTAATGTTTGCTTGATTAGCATATTCTGGATTTGAAGACTCGAATCTGACTATCTCTGATGCTTTCTTGATGCAATCAGAGTACCTTTCGGCTTCCAGAGCTTCTTGCGTGGCTGTTATAGCCTTGGCAACCTTATTTACTTTTTTGTAGAGGCTCAAACAGGCTTTATCATCTTGATCAAGCCTGAGACATTCTCGAAGCTCATTGACAGCCTGCACTGCAAACCCGGCGTCATACATTATTTGACTAATTCTCAGTAATCCCTCGCGGTTATCATTAGTCATATGAACGCCAAATCTCATTTCTTGTAAACCCTGAGGACAATAATTAAGCACAAATATTACCTTTTGCACGTCTCCTAAGCTTAAGTAACACCTTGCTCTCAATTCACGTAGCTCCTCAGCGTAGTCGACTGATTCCACCAATTTGTCCAATAACGTAAGAGCTTCTCTGTATTCACTGTTCCCGAACAATTTACGAGCATCTTCCCACTGATTTTGCAGTTTATGTATTTCAGATATTTTGGCGCTTGCGCCAGTATCATGATTTAGCTATGCAATAAATTTTTGTAGTTGAAAACAGTACCACACTCTCATAATCTTCTATGGCTTCTGTCAGCTTCCCCATTCTTAGCTTCACATACGCCCGATGTTTCCTTGCCTGTGAATTAATCAAGGTAACTTATGACTAACAGGAATGAAATCTGGATTTAGCTCCAAGGCTCTATTAAAATCCAAAAGAGACATCCTACAATTAGATAGTGCGATGTATGCTGTGCCCCTTTTGTAGTGGGCCATATAACTATCAGGACTTTTTCCTTAAAAAATTACAAGTACTTTCGACATACCGATTGCATCGCTGTACAATAACAGAGCTTCCTCAAATTTACCGGATGCTAAAAGTTTAGTCCCTTTCTCCAGTATATCTTCCACACTACCATTAACTGATAGGGTTACTAAACGATCAAAGTTAGGAATAAACATTAAAATACCTATAGTGTAAAGACATGTTATCATAAAAACATGATAGAAGGGCGTCCGAACTTCGCAACACATTCCAACAACGCGGTCAGTAATCTGTGTGGACTAGTTTGATTGGATGGATTTATAATTAGAAACCGGAGAAAACAATGACCAATATTCAACATCAAAATCTACAAACTTTCGTAAGGACTACGTTTTTTGAAATATTATACTGATTGACCAACAACTTTCCAGCATAAAATATTTATATGCTAAAATTCAGCCAATAAAATGCTATCATTTTACTTCGCCATGCCTATTTCGGCATGACTCATAACTTTAAATGGCAAAATATTGTTCTTCGTACGTTTATCACAGTTATGTCGTTTTAGAAGGGTTACGATTAAAAACTTCAGAAATCGGATGGTTAATAAATGAAAAATTCTGAAATGTAGTGGCGTTCTATGAAACTTGGCAGTTGTTTTTACATTGATAACTCTCAGCTGTTTCGTAACAACTTTTTTGAAACAGTTAATGGTAGGGTTGTAGTTTACATATCTACGCACCTAATGCCCTGAAAGTTCACGAACTTTTATCCTTGCGACAAGTCATCTGGATGTTTTGTGATGCAACGAAAAGTGTATTTGTAGTGTTAGTCATTAATTTTAGCCCATAATATATTTCATTCTAGTTTTCGGACATTCCATTCTATTCATTCTACTTGAGTCATTTTGACCTTGTCAATTATTCACTTGTCAGTCTTGATTGTTTTTATATGAGCGTATATGTGTGTGCACATCATATCCTATGACTCAACACACGTCTGTAGTTTATTTTGTCTGACTATAAATATTGAGTAACGCTTGACTAAAATGTAGTTGGTTTACCAGCCATCTCCACTCTGCGTCGCTTCTCTTCCTTCTATTCCACTCACCTCATATACAAAATATATGTATTCAAAATCCCATTCTCGTTATTTGACTTATATAATTCCGTTATCGACTAACGCGATTAAATCGACGATTATATACGAGAATAGGCAATAGCAAACATTCATACAATCTAAATAGGAGTCAGATCCACGGACCACTAAATATTCGCTACTCCTCTCTGATAGGTCTACTTAATAGACAATTGGGTATTCCAGATTGTCCAGAAATTTTCATTTCTTTGAACTAACAGAGGAGCCCTTAAAGTAAATTCTTACACGTATTATATTTATGTGGCTTCAAAGTTTCTAATCTCTTCGCCTTTGGTCATAACCGTGAAGTGACCTACTTTAATCAAGAGAACGCGATTGATGTAATGGAAACAATTATTATTATTATAACCAATTGTACCAGGGATTGCTTTTGCCGTACATGTTTGGTTAATTATACCAAAATGCATACATTTTTCCGTTGATTGTGACCTCAGCAAACAGATTTGTAACCTGGCACGATCTCGGTACTCTTTCGATACCACGAGATCGCCAGCAAATACATCTCGACTACAGCCATCAACTGCCTTCTGATATTTGGCCTACGGAGGATATTATCGGTAAACTGGCACGTAGTTTTCCTGTAGTGGTGATCATAGTCACCCGCGAATCGACGCCACACTACAACTGGAAGCTGAATACTGATGTTTAAAATTTGATGAAAATTTAGATTCCTTGCTGACAGCCCGAACTGACAGTCATTTAATCTTAAATACATTCTCGCTAATCAAGCTGCCATTCATATGTCGACTTCGGGAAAGAGATCATTTCTGATCGTTCATTTCGTCCTCAAATGCATTATCAGTCAAATGTTCTGCTTTGAAAAAAATCCTTAAGCCAGAACTCGATGTTCTTCACACTGAAAAACACCCTAGCAGAGTAAACACGTATTCACACATGTGGATGAACGACGGATCTTTTCAAGTACATTATTAACGAGATCGTCGATCGAGATTATTTCCTGTATTCTCTAGGTACCCCTAACAAGATTCTAGTCACAAATAAACAAATGTCTTGAAACAAATAAGCCCTTTCTGACTTAACCGAAGACTCCTGGTACAATTAGTTACCACGCAGAAAATGTGCAGCATAGGGGAAGTGACTGTTCCCGTGGTCTGGTCTCACAAGGATCTTAGGGTGGCAGTCAGTCATGACCTTAAGATCACGGCCCATTGCCGGGAAATTAAAGCTAATGGGTTTAGAACATTATACGATTCAAGACAGACATTCACTAAGTTTGATACTGCTATGTTCACTACAGTATACACAATCTTGTTGAGAACTAAGCTTAAGAACTGCGCTTATACTGCACGCCCCTGTTTAAAAGATGACTCGGATATTATTATATTATATTATATATCCTGGTAAACATGCAGAGGGCAGTTATCCGTGCAATTCCAGAACTCCGGGGTTTACCATACAAAGAGCGGCTTGAAAAGCTAGAACTCCTTACTCTGTCCTGTTGCAGAATAAAAGGCGATTTGATTTTGATGTAAAGAATACAAAAAAATGATTTTGGACCTAACACACAAATCTGAATCTGCACTCAGAAAATTAAGTAGGAGAAAATAACTTTACAACTAACCCTACGGAACGCACTTAATATGATTTGAGGAAGCTCTGTTATTGTACAGCGATGCAATCGGTATGTCGAAAGTACTTGTAATTTTTTAGGAAAAAGTCCTGATAGTTATATGGCCCACTACAAAAGGGGCACAGCATACATCGCACTATCTAATTGTAGGATGTCTCTTTTGGATTTTAATAGAGCCTTGGAGCTAAATCCAGATTTCATTCCTGTTAGTCATAAGTTACCTTGATTAATTCACAGGCAAGGAAACATCGGGCGTATGTGAAGCTAAGAATGGGGAAGCTGACAGAAGCCATAGAAGATTATGAGAGTGTGGTACTGTTTTCAACTACAAAAATTTATTGCATAGCTAAATCATGATACTGGCGCAAGCGCCAAAATATCTGAAATACATAAACTGCAAAATCAGTGGGAAGATGCTCGTAAATTGTTCGGGAACAGTGAATACAGAGAAGCTCTTACGTTATTGGACAAATTGGTGGAATCAGTCGACTACGCTGAGGAGCTACGTGAATTGAGAGCAAGGTGTTACTTAAGCTTAGGAGACGTGCAAAAGGTAATATTTGTGCTTAATTATTGTCCTCAGGGTTTACAAGAAATGAGATTTGGCGTTCATCTGACTAATGATAACCGCGAGGGATTACTGAGAATTAGTCAAATAATGTATGACGCCGGGTTTGCAGTGCAGGCTGTCAATGAGCTTCGAGAATGTCTCAGGCTTGATCAAGATGATAAAGCCTGTTTGGGCCTCTACAAAAAAGTAAATAAGGTTGCCAAGGCTATAACAGCCACGCAAGAAGCTCTGGAAGCCGAAAGGTACTCTGATTGCATCAAGAAAGCATCAGAGATAGTCAGATTCGAATCTTCAAATCCAGAATATGCTAATCAAGCAAACATTAGCCTCTGTCACTGTCATGCAAAAGTGAGTTATTCATATGCGATTTCTAGATCTTATAAATTTAAAAGATGCTTAACTTGTTACCAGTATGTCTAATGTTCGATTCTACAAAATACTTCATGCCAATCCAATCTACTCACAATCTAGACATGGCTTGCTATCCTGTGTATACATTTCCTTATGGTTTCTAACTCGCTACGTATTTTCTTTCTTGAAATATATTCAAGCGGTAACGCAACCGTTAAGGCGTTCAACTGTCGGACATTAATTCTTACACTGGGATTTCAATTCTCCCATTTCGGTTCGGGAAACCTGGTGGTGGTTATCTTGTGCGTAGTTACTTGCAGTGATGAAACTGGTCAATACTTCGCTCGTCTATCACAAGGTCCCTCGTTCTGTGTTGCTTTATTTGGTTTTTTCAATATATAATTCCCATAAAAGTTAAACAAGTTCGTGCACTTGGAGACTAACCAGGTATTATTTATAACTACCTTAGGAACTAATGTCAATGTCATTGTAACGATGTCTAATTCGTGCTTCTTGCATTGGCACAAAATATTTCAGGATGGATCTGAATCAGTGCCTTAACATAGGTCAGAGATTCAATATCACTTTTAAACATAAATTCTCTCGATAATGAGCATCTACAGGGAGTTTTTAGGTAATCTCTCTAATCATCAAGACGTTTCAATTACCTCTAGGAGAGTAACTATTCTTCCTGGTGAGTTTCCTTTATCGTCACATTTTACTCCTTAGTTTAGCTAAGGATGTTAATTCCTTATCTGTTATCTGCAGCTAACGAATTTATTCTAGAATTTGTTCACGCACTTCTCCAGGTCATGGCAAAGCTCATCAATTCTCATTTGATTTTTGCCTATCTGCCAGCTTTTAAGATCCAGTTGGAAAGCACATACTGTACTGAAATTTAATTCTAAAAGGTCACCACAACAAGTTGGCTAATGATCATACACTAGAATAAAGTACATTGATTCAGTATGCTGAATATGTGATACTTGATATACAGCATTGACTCAGGGATGCATAATATGTCCATGGTACTTTTTGTCTCATTTACACTCTTCAGAAAGTTCGTTGAGGTATATCTCAGCACCTTATAATGACGTTCTGGTTCAGATTAATACCACTTCAGTTTTACTGCAGATGTCAGGATTTCTCTAAACTAACTTTCATAGTCAATTAATTCTCTAACGAGTGCTTACTATTCGAATCCCTCCATTTCATTGTTGACATCTTTGTGCATCGATTAGTGTCTGGACAAATCACGAATGTGTAGTCTAAATCCAAACGTGTGTTTCAGGAGGTCTAATTCTCCAACGATGAATAATAGCGATGTAGTTTACTTGTCTTTATTTTTCGGCCAGCAATGTATTTCTATATATTTAGGACTGGCACTCAATATAAATGCTTTTCCCACTATTGTTTAATTTGTTAATACATGTGCTTCTAGAACTTACACTGTTTTCGTCCAACTTTTCAGTAGTTGATCCCGATTTCACACTCATTGGTAGATAACGTAGTTTTGTTTCCCCAAAACCAACTATAACTTGTTAGTGGCTAACTAGTTTGGCATATGTGGCGTACCCCAGACATCTATTTACAAGCCAAGGGACGAACATGCTGTTCACCAATCTTCCATTTTACTTCATGACTAAACGTCTTTCGAAGTAGAGGACTTCCGTTGGCTATCAGCATTTAGTAGTGTTTTCTAAGCGTTGTTAATATACTGTTGAATGACAAAGTAAGCAATGCTGGGACCAGATGTCGAGCACTAGGTAAACAAATGAAATCTCTAATTAGTACAGAAATTAATTAAAGTGAATAAATTTGCCTTCGTGCATATATATTTGAGCTTCAATAATTAGGTGCAGTCTCCAAAATATTTTCCAAAATTGCATCGCGTTCACGTTACAAACCAGATCCAACCTCGGCATGATCGTGTTAGAATCCTGTTCATGCTAAATATTTATGCAATACACATTTTTGATTTTGTAGTTGTTATAAAGAAAATTCCTAGAGAGCTTGGTGTGAACTATGACTGTGAGATAAACGCGTACGTCGAATTATTTCCAGACGTCAGGAGTTCCATATCTGTGCCCACAGAAAAAGGAGAAACAGGGGATCAGCAAGGCAACTGAATCTGAACGCTAAACAATTCTTAACATTTCGTAGTAGAACAATGAGAGATATGATAAATTATTAGATTAAATTCGTACCAGCCATTTTTGCTAGAGTGAATATGATAAGAGGCTCCAGATGAGAGAATGCAGTAATAAAGTAAAATGAGTTGTGATATTTAACAATGCAGCGTAGGTTCAAATGATAGAAGGGAAGTCAAAGGTAGAATAACGAAGGTAGAGAGTAAAGTGTCCAAAAAACTGATAACTGTGTCTTCTATTCTCTGATTTTTTTGGTTTTCCTTTTCATGCGATGCCACCCACACAGTCCTAGTGAAAAAGTTCGAGTTGGCATGTTATAGGTTGTCTTAGTAGAATATCTAATCCACAATAAAATTGGAAACATGAGTCTGAATGGTAAGTGTACCACAGATTGATTGACTTGTTCTCAGTCATAAAAAGCTTGATACAAACAAAATATCCTGCCCCACAAGAACAGGTGAAATGATGTCATCCCCCTCATCATCAATGCTTTCTGGTCAGTAACTCCACCCTCCGTCCTATTGTGATGTTAGGCACATTTAGGCTTTTTTGTATATATACCATACCTCACATGAAGCTCTGTGTTTCTCATCCTGTTGGAAAACACTATTTCTATAAGTACCGTTTTACAAGTATATCAGACAGTTACAAACTATGAACTGTGGGTAGGACATCGATTCAATGCTTCAATTCACTATAGTGTAAAGTATAAGTTACCAATCAAGCATTGAGAAAGGTATAATGTAGAATAGTTGTTTACCAAAGTAAGCGAAAAAGTACAGAAATATGTGAGTTATAGATAAAGTAAGGAAAGGTGAAATAAAATTAACGGCAAGTCAACACAGTGTGCAGGAAATTAGAAAGCCAATGAAGGGTAAACAAAAAGGAACTCCCGTTAACTTGGTGCTGATGTTGTTATGTTCTATTGCTTCTTTGCAACCAAGCTCAGTTCAGCAGTGTCGATAGGTCCAGTGAGCTACCTGTGTATTTCAAGTCAAAAAATTAGGGAGGGAAAAATATCTAATACAACTGTAAAGTAGGAAAGTAAGGTAAACTGAACTTAGAGTCTAATTTGGCCTATACATGTAAAGAGCCTAAGATGTCTGAGTGGTACGCAGATGTGTTCGATCGTGCTAGATCATTGCAAGCGAGGGCTTGATCAAGAAGTCTTACGACCGTATGTAATCATCTTCCATGCGCATTTCAGTGGGAAGACTGTTCCATTCATGTAGGTTTGGGCGAGAACTCTATCACATGTGGAATACGTAAGGTTTTCAAGGAGTTTGAAATAGAGGATCAAATTAGACCAGTAATGTACCCCTAGGTCAGTTACTGGTGTCAGTTTGGGTAGTGTGTCCTTGTCAAGTGTCAATTTTGTTTGGATAGACGTGTCTCCAATACATAACCAGCCGTATTTTTCTGTGTTGAACTCCAACCTCCAGTGTTGAAACCAGTTTTTTACCTTGTTGAGTTCATATTGAATTGTTTGCACAATACTACGTACATCGCAAATATCAGTTTTACGGGTGACTTTTAAGACACCAGTGTAAAGGTAGGTCTTATCTGTGCTAAAGCTCTAGCATATATTGCTGATGTAGAGTGCAAAAAGCAATGGACCCAAGACACTACCCTGCACAACACCAGTGGATATTGGTCGGAGTGTAGATGTTGTAGAGTTAATCTTGGTTATTTGGTTTTTTTTCGTGAGAAGAGATTAGATCCATTGCAATAGGGTGTATGTAATTCCAGTTGACTGAAGTCTGTTGATTAGGAGTTTATGAGGTACTTTATCAAAGTCTCTCTTAATATCAAATTATAGTATAACCACTAGTTTCTTCTGGTCACGTATGCGAGTAACCTCGTTAGAGATGTCCGTCAGATATGTACTGCAGGACCATGTTCTAATGAAGCCGCGTTTTGACGGGTCTACCAGATCTTCCTTAAGTAGGTGATCAGATAGTTGATTTTGTATCATTTTTAACCATTATGCGTGATATAACTGGAGCGATATTTATGTGTTTGTAGTTTTTTACCAGGTTTCTCGGTCCGAATTTGTGTTTAGGAAGAACTTACGGCACTTTCCAGGTTTCCGGATATGTACTTGTCTCCGAAGATAATGTGTATATTCCAAATAATAGCGTCTGTATTTCCGGTCCTGAAATTTTATAAAGGATTGAAAGGATGTCATCGGCACCAGAACTCGCTTTTGGCTTAAGGGTTTTAATGGCGGTATGTATACTCCTAATGTCGAAGTTTGTGGTACTAATATAATTTCTGCTGGTGCACTTGATGTTAGTATCTGGGGTATGAGATGTACTCCCATTGTGGGAAAAGTATTCGCTGGACAGTTCACATATGACGGTCAGGTCATTATATGTCATTTCATCGTGCAGTAAGGAGTGAATGTTGTGATCTGCGTTCTTTCTTCTGCGTTTTGCAAGGAGACGGCATAAGGCTTGGGCTTTATATATAGCAGTGAGCGCAGTACTTTCCTCTGCCTGTTTATGCTTATTGCGCTTACTTTGTACTCCGTCAAGTACAGAGTATATCTGGTGCAGGGCACTGAAGTCTTTAAATATATAGTACGTCCTTTTCAGTTTTCGCAGTTTAGAACTAGTCTTTTGGTTCATATAGGGAGTAATTGTTTTAAAATCAATGTTAGAGGGTATAGTAGTATTTAGTGCAGATTTGGTGTTATTATTGGATATTTCTAATGTTTCTAAGAGGTTATCACTAACTTTACTGTTCATCACTTGCGGTGGTGTTTAGAACTAAGGAAAGAAGTTACATTGAGGACATCCAGCGCTGGAGGATCACCATTAGCTAAACATTAAGGGTGAGACTACACCTCATCAACCCCCCCACCTCCTGGGTTAAAGCTAGTGTTTTGATGGAGAATATTTGGTAAGATGTGACTACTGTAGTACGGAGAATTAAAAGGACTGTGGTCCCCATGTCTGCGCTTGGCTGAACTACTTGTGCCCATCGACGAGGGACCCTACGCTTATTAGAATTTACAGTCGTATAGAGAAAAGGACAAGACGGCACCAGTCTATGAACGTAGATAAAGGCTTGTACGATAAAATCTTGAGGGCATATGACTCAGTCAACATACGCAAATCCAGTCAACTTTCCTGCCGTGAGGTATATCTAAAACACCTGCCCAGATTTTACTAAATGTCGACCGACCCTACAATTTTCTGGTTGGCTGAAACCTTAGTAACTACGTATTCCATTTTACATCCTTTCCTTGTGAGTCATGTGAAATCATAAATAGACACGGTCGATAAGCGAAGTAGATAGCATATAGTTGTTACTATTTAATTCAGTTTCAATAATTCCATGTTAGTATTGTTGGACGAAAGGGATCCACAATCCACGGACAAATCCCGCTTCAGGTAGTCGCAGCAAAGTTCCAACTAAATTGTCGCATTATTTAATCTCCTTATCTACACTGATCGTTATTTAGTGACGAGAACGTGAACGTTGAGTATTATCTGGTCTGTCTCAGTAACGAATACACAATATTGCATGCATGACGCGTTTTAATGTTTAAGATCATATTTGTCTCAAACAGTAATCCTTGATAAATACATATTATTTTAGTGTAGATCAATATAATTAAAAGGATTAATTAAAAGTATATACAACTTAAGGAATCTAATCATTCCGAACCGCTTTTCATTTAATCTCAATGCCGCCTTGAATGCCTATGCTTCGATTTGTGATTTTGCTTTGGGGACTTGTCTGAAAGCTTCGAAAGCTTTTTAAGTAGCTTTTCACGTTGTCTTTCGGTGAGGTTTTTGAGGAATTCCATGGCTAGAGAGTCTTCTTCTTCAGATGTTTGCTTTGAGACACTGGCCAGCGCACTCTTTGCTTTGCTAAATACAGATGTAAAACGGTCCAAATCAGTTCCTCGCTTCAAAGTAAGCCCCTCTTTTTGTAGATTTTTCTTAACTTGGTCAAGACCAATCATATCGCTTGTCGTTGGTTCCTTAGTGAAAGACTGACCAAAAAGTGGACAAACACGATCAGTGTTTAAGTGCCCCCATTGTTTGCACCGCATACATCGTACGTTTCGAACTTCAATGGCAAAGGGCTGATCTATTATCTCTGACGAGTTTTTGCAATAGCTTTCTCTTGGAGCACAATATTTCCTTTGCCATTCAAACTTCACCTCTTTGTCATCAGGTTGCTCCTATTCAAATAATTACTAATATATACTCCTAAGCTAACCTTTTCCATTAAAGCAGGCTGGTCATACATCCATGCTAAGCCTAGCCTAGCTTTTTCATCACCTAGAAGGACACGGTTTTCAAGTGTTTCTTGTTCCCGACGATATTGATTTAGTTTCTCTAGTTCCTTTTTCGTATCGTACTCATTTGCCTGTTCAGCCATCCACTTTCTCTTTATGTTTTCGAAGTTTGTTGGGTGGAAAAACTTCTTGCACATATAATTATTATATCCTTTCCCCATCCTTAACAAGAGACGTACCGCAAAATCCGATAGGCGCCACTCCAAATAATGTTATATGTCTTTGTGAGTAGCAGACTTAAACTAAACGATTTATTTTTTCTGGTTAAACTTCACAGTCAATTCACGGAGACTGAGTTTCTACTTGTTTTTTTATCAGAACCGCTGAGTGTTCTCATGATAGCGATGTCACTGGAAATCATCAGTATCACTTCATTAGAAGTACTGGACAACTCTAGTTCAACTTTTTGGCATAAGATCATCTCTGTTGTGCAACTTATTTTCGTTCATTATTAATAGGCTTGTAATAGGTGCATAGATCACGCACCCTTTTTGTGTGGTGAGTTTTGTTATAGGTCAACAAAGATTCCTTTATCGGCGTCTACGTGATCACAATTTAATCAGCTAAGATGCAATTACATGCTAGAAATTCTAAGTGATATGTTATAAATAAAGTCGTTGTGTGCTATATGTAAGAAAAGGTCCTCCTACTGAGAATAATGGATCACAATCTCAACTAAAATTATTACAGTTTTCGATATCTTCGAGAGATTATTGTTTTGTGAAAATTTTATAGTGAAGCCGACTTTATGGGTTTTGAATGGCACTATGAGTTGAGACCTTTCAATCAAGCATCACCACATTTAGGTAGCCACTTGAAAGTGCATGATCATTATCCCTCTCCGGAGAATCAAGCCAGTCCTATCTTTGGCTTCTTCTTTATTTATCTCGAGATAATTCATTTGACTATATGCATTTGTCACCTTATCCTGCCTGAAAAACACACCAAATTATTCGCTTTTAAGTTTCTTCTTCCCTCTGATTTAAAAATTATCTGTCAGGTTAACAATACTGAATCGTGATCCAACTATTCAGATGTGGTTTTTCAAAATAGTGAGACAGTTTTCCCACTTGATTGACCACTGTCACAGGCTCATCGCAGGATAAAGACAGATGAACATTCCAGGACTTTTCTGACATCATATTCTTTCCAGACTACCACGGAAATACAAACCATCCTTCTTTCGTGTTGAGTGTTGTTCTTAGTGCTTTATATTCAAGAGACATTTCAGTCGATGTAAGTGAGGCGTTTCAAAGTATTATACTGAACAAGCGTTTTGGAAGCTGGATTGGATTTTGTAATGCGCTAAAGGAATCCGAAAAACTATGGGAGAATAATTTTATCCCTTCTCAAACTATCCATACTCATTACATCCACACAGAAATTAAATTGCTGAAGGATATGAGGTTTAAATATCTTGGCGTCTGTTTGCTCCAGAAATATGTTGTATATCTGAAGTAAACTGCGAAATGTAGTCCAGTTGTCGAGACTCACAGGGAGAGTAATTGTCAGAAAGAGAGCTTAACGAGAAAGTGAGCGGTTTATGGTCCGTGAAAAGAGTGAATTCACGGCCTTCGATATAGTGTTGGAAATGCCGTACAGCACAATACATAGCTAGGAGTTCCCTACCGAATGTGCTGTACCTCGATTCGGTGTCTAGCAGCCGTCTAGAGGAAAATGCCAAGGGTTGCCAGGAGTTGTTAACCCATTGTTGTAAGACTCCTCAGTAATGACTGACTATTAAGGAGGTGATTGGCTTTTTTTATACTACCAAACTGAAATAGTATGGGACAAGAGGCTTTAGTCTGTGCTTCAAGTAATCTTCTTGCTACACACCAAGATTGCACAATCCACATTCATGTAGTAGAGTATTCTTGACAAACTTTACGTTCGCACTATCATGTTTACTATACACAATGACATTCTGTTTACGCTGTAGTATCTCCAGCACCTCAGAGGTTATTTGGTCAATTACTTTTTCAGTGTTTTTTATAATTTCGAGATCACGAACATCTAGAACTCTGATTAAATATTTGTACAGTAATAAGTTTTGAATAATTTGGGTGACGCTAAGTTCTATGTCTGAGTGAGTAGTCGGGATCTACATCATTGAGCTGGCTACTGTAGATAGGCTTAAATGCACTCCGTGGGTCGCTACTCAGGATGGCCGATTGTGAATGTTTTGTATGTTTCGGGTCAACCGCACTGTCTGAATACTGTTCATAACATGTGATGATTTTGTTTGGACTGACAAATGATGTCGACTCACACGGAATATGAGTACTCTTATTTATATGTACAAGTGAGATACAAGTTAGTGACATGTCATGCCCAAGTACATGGTGCACGTCTAGTGTAACTGTCGGAAGATCAGAGTAGGACGAAAACTGATAAGTGTGTTTATAAGGCATCACATTATTCGCTTTAGTGACTAATTTAGATCTTTTGCAGGTGCTATAGGCACCAGGAAAGATTATATGTTTTTTAGATGGCCTAGACATAATTGAAAGTAATGTAAATATAAGGTTTGTATCAGATGAACAGCGACTGTTATAAATTAACTTATTAGATTTATAAAGTTCAGTGGTAGGATCAAATCCAATATTTGTTAAGACCTAATATATTAAAGGTAATGAACGAAAAGGGATGGACAGCGTGAAAACTAACGAACTTAGTGCATGACGTTGAGTCCCAAGACGAGGTGTCAAATTAACAGAAGTGCTTCTCGCTAACAAATGTTGGTAAATGAAAGGGAAAAACTAATAGGAGAACAAAACAAAAGCACGAGTTATTACAACTTTGGGAAATCGTATCAATAGAAGTGTTATAACGTGTCATTTTTTCACGTTTGGCTGGACGGCAAGCTGGATGAACATTTAGAATTTTCCAAGGCATGAAAGTGAAGTGATTAGTAGCAAACCGATGGGGGAAAATGCATTAACATGAAGATGGTGTTGCAAAGTAGAGGGGTCAAATCAAATCGGAAGTCAAGGCCTATGTCGGAAACAAATTGAGGATGAAATAAATAATATTCGTGACAAGTACAAGCGGAGGTAATGTCATGAAAATCATAGTGTAGGTGGAGTATGTAAACATGTGTTTAAATGTAAAATAGCACAAAAACGTGCACATTTGAAAAGTTTTTATCTCGAGATGTCATGGAAGGGCATGCACAGTATATCAAAATAATTTTGAACTGTCCATATTCAGGATCAGATAATTAAAATGAGAAGTGCACGTGGTACATGTATGAAACGCAGACTGGCATCAGTTTAAATTTGCCGAATATGGTGATGTTGTAGAATTATGGTCTACTATGATATTAGTACTGCTCTAATAATAGACCTAATCCTAAATTTGTAGATTTGTCATGATATATCTGCCTAATCTATAAGATCTTACGTGGAAGTCACACCATCGACTACACCAACTCACTGTATCGTATCAATTACCAATACATGGTGTAGAACAAGGTTAGGCTAGAGAAAGAACAATATATTTAATATGAATAGAAGATATAAGGTAACATTCAGCAGAGACCACGCCTGCATGGCCGAGCCATGCCGTTCGATCAACTCTAGTCCATTCAGTTCATTATTCGCCTTCTCCATCGTTAGGTATTTCTTCGCGTTAAATATTGAATATCTATTTACCGAGAAATCTCGTATTCAGCTTTGAGGATTGTGTGGTTATGGTCCAATGCCACTACACTACTCTCCCACCAGAATCAAAGTGGTGTTGGTTCGATACCAAATTGGATGGGACTGTAGTGTCCTGAAGGTTATCAAGTAAGAATCCTCCGGGTGATGACAAGCTGAAAGATAAATCAGAAAGGCGGCAGCATCTAATCGAGGAATACATGTAATAATTTTTAAATATCTGCCTTCATGCTTAACACGCTTAAGATGAAAATTTGGGTGAAGATTATTTGAGCTATAAAAAATGGGATTACAATAATAGTAATAATAATAATAATAACAATAATAATAATAAAACGATGCGTATTAATAGCCATTGGTTAATAACTTAACGTATATGTAGTATTTTGTGTTTAGAAATGTTAAAGTTATGAATATTGTAGAAATGGTAATATTAGTACTACTTTTAGTCTAACTTATGAAATCAAATAACGATTATGCCTGTAAGTTGTCCATATGAGTCGATTTCCAATTGCATCTGTATTAGTAGTCTAACTGAAGGAACAAAAGTATTACCGTGGAGAAGAATTCCAACTAGTGTTCCAGTTAGTTTGATACGGTTTATTTAGTTACAGGGAGATTTTCTCAACCCCATGTTTACCTGACAGTGATAGAGTTTAGTGATACTACTAATACACATGAATGGTTATCAAAACAAAATTTAAATACCTGAGTGATAATCATATGAATTTTGGACAGATAGCCAGGAACAAATCGTTAAACATGAGTGTATTTGTAAGAAACATGCTCCAGACTCAATGTTCTGATCTGCGGCTGACTATTTATTTATATTTATACTTGCCGGCTGATTGGGCATACAAGTTAGTTGAAAGTATGCAGTTTATCATAAGGGGGAATACGATTTTATTGAGATATAGTGGTTATAAGTTATTGAAATTAGTTAAGCATATGTGTCATATTACTAAGTGATGTAGAGCTGCAAGATGTATTTAGCTAAATAAGTTTTTACAAGATGATTAATAGTGAGTGATGCTCATGTGATTATCAGGGAGAACATAAGTTGTAACCAAGGGGAGTGCACTCCCAACTCATGCCTATGATAATAACTTGAACCTTAGTCAGTGTTGGGGTAAATTCGACATTGATGTTTTCAGTTTGCAGGAGATTTGCTCGACTGTTTATACTGATTATTTGCATGCATGATTGTGTCGCTAAACCATCAACTAGACTGACAAGTTTTTGAGATATTTACTGAATGAGCAACTGATAGAGAAACATACTGTAATCATCTGTAGTGAATGAAGATAAAAGAAAAACAACACTAGTTATATTCATAAGTCAATTTGCTGACCGATTTTGTTAATAGTTTCATTAATTTTATCAATCATATTACGTGATTGTCAAGTCATGACAATGCTTTATGACGATATCCTGAAACTACTACGTTTAATTAGTTATAATGTTGACTGAGGATTAGTCAGTGGAAAAATAGATATTGTTGC